TCGTGAGCCAGCAGCCCGCCTGGGCTCATTTCCCAGCCCTTCCTGTTTCACTGGCCCAGCTTTCATCAATGTCCTCTAGAAGTCACCTGGACTTGTGTTGCGAAATCTTTCCTGCATCAAGTCAAGAACCCACACATTCCTGGCCAGCCCTCAGCAGACCCGCTCAGGGCCGGGTCCCCTGTCCGATAACAAGGGGAGTGGCAGGCAGCCCCCTCCCGCCCTGTAGTCCTGATCACTGAGTTCCTCTCCTCCTGAGCTGAGCAGGCTACCAGGTGCCGGCCTCTGTCAGTCACACCCAGGGATTCAGGCCAAGGCCTTCGAGATGGAGAGGAAACCAAGAGGTGAGGGAGGGGCCTGCTGGGGTCAAAGCCAGAGCTTAGCCGTCTCCCCACTTCTCCAGGGCTTCCTTCGACCGGAGCTTTCCTGTCGCCAGGCACTGAAGTAGATGTTCCTGTGCTGCGGGGGGCCCGGTCACACATGGCCCAGGCCAGAGGTGACAGGTGGACTGGACAGAGGAGCAGATGAAGAGCAGGAGTCCAGGAGCTGGATAGGCCTGAGACTGTCATGAGCCCACTTTAGAGGCGAGGGCCCCGACTCCTCGAAGGACGGAGGGCACCGTGCCCCTCGGACTGGGCTCTGGGCCAGGCCCTAGGGCAGGGGTGGGCTTCAGGCTCAGCCAGGGCAGAGCGAGGGCTCTGCCTCCAAGAAGCTGGGGTCTGAGGAGTGAAGGGGAGAGGCAATAGGGGGGCATGGCTGGGGCCCCAGGGAAGGGACAGGGTGAGTGAGAGAGCTTAGAAGAGCGTAGCCGGGTACCAGGCTACTGACACCACATGGGATACATGGCTGTGTCCCCAGGGCCTGGACAAGGCAGAGCTCAATGATTTTGGGTGGAAGGAAGGGTAAAGGAGAGAGGAAAACGGGAATGAAGGGAAGAGGAGAGAAGGGAGGGAGGGAGCACAGTTGTTCTGGAAGTTACGGATGGAAAGGGCAAAGGGAAAGGAAGGAATGACACCCAGGGGAGGGGGAGTGGGGGAGGGGAAGGGGAGCACAGTTTGGTGTGAAGTGGGAAGTCACTAAACATTCTTGGGAGGACACAGATGATCACAGCCTGAGAAGAGACGGACTGGAGAGAAACCGTGGAAAGGAAATAGCTGGGGGGGAGGGGGAGAGGCCGCGGGCAGGGAGCGTGCATCCGACCAGCACCGCCACGGGAGACGGACTTGTTAGGTGGCCCGTGGGTTCTCCTGACATTGAGTGTCCGTAGGGAAAGTGGTTTTCCCCTCTTACCTTTTCTTCCTGGTTGAGTTTTCTAGGGGCAAGTGAGTGACCCCAGGGGCCAGGCCTCATCAGAGCACTGTCCGAGCATCCTCGGCCTCCTTCCTGGAGGCCAGGCCACGGGATCTCATCAGAGGTCCCTGCCTAGAAAATGCCTGAACTGTGAATGCCTGCGAACCAGTGAATGGAAGAGCCAACCATGAACGAACAACCTGTCTCCCTGCCACGTCTAGGGCCCAGGCTGTGCCTTGCTCTCCAGGCGCAGCTCACTCAGGCTCTCAGACCCCTGCAGCCTGCTGGGCGGGACTCATTTAGCACTGCATGTGTCTCCACCAGGCAGCCCTGGCCCCCGACCCATGGCAGTTGGCCACAGCCTCCCTCATGCCTGGAGGGAGGTCTCAAGGGAGCTTTACATGTACATCTTATTTGCTGAAAGAAGTAAATTGTCCAGCACTGTTGTTCTGGAAGTTAAGGATGGAATGTTTGATCTATACGTAGAAACAGTGCTGCTTACAGAGATACAGCATCGCTTTGCTCTAGCACAGGCACCCAGGTGCGTCATAGCTCTGGGCACCCTGCAGTCCCCAGCAGCCCCGCCTCCACTCAAGGCTCAGGCCAGTCCTGCCTCATTGCCCCCTAAGCAACAGTCCCTCCTCAGTAGCTGAGGAAGACCATTCCCTTCCAACCTTTGCATGTGACACACCCCAGGGAGGAATGCAGGGGCTGACTGCTTGGAAAACCCAGCAAATCTCACACATTCTGAAAAATTCAAAAATGACCATCTGCTGGGTAAGCTGACCCTACAGTCTTGCTTTGCTTTTCTTCTGAAAAACTTTTTTTCTGTTACTCCTCACCCAAGGATATTTTTTCATTGATTTTTTTTAGAGAGAGGGGGAGGAAGAGAGAGAGAATCATGGATGTGAGAGAGATACACCGATTGGTTGCCTCCTGCATGACCACAGCCCGGGCCAGGGATCGAGCCTGTAACCCAGGTACATGCTCTTGACTGGAATTGAACCCACAACCTTCAGTCATGGCCTGACACTCTAACCGCTGAGTCAAACTTGTCAGGGTTTTTTTCACTTTTTTGCAAGTGGTTCTTGGTGACAATGCCTTTGTGCTACTGGGGCTCACGGTTTACTAAATACAAAGCACATAGTTGCAGCCTTTGAAAGTAAAACAAGCCATCATTTTGTCCTCTTATTTTACCAGGGAGAGAACAGAGGCCCTGCTCCTTATGGGGACAAGGGTCACCTTGAAATAAAAGGTGAGCCCCACCAGCTCGCATTGCTCTGGGCAGGCATGGTTTGCTTTAGGCGTGCAAACAGCTGGCAGCCAGGTGAGGAAGACTGCCTCACCACATCACAGGCAGGCCTGCCTCTGGGAAGACCCCGCCCCCAAGGTCCTTGAGCGACATGGGGCATGCAATAGAATCTTAGTAAAAAGAAGCAAGAGGTGACCAAATGCAGGGTCTGCAGAGCTGTTTGGAAGAGTGTGGAAGTATAGCACACGGTCTGTGCACCCCAGAGGGAGACAGTGTCAGAGGGGACACACCACAATGGGGCGATGGCTGTAGAAGCACCTTTACTCTTTATTTAAAAAAAAAAAAAAAATACACAATGAATGAATGAATACAAACAAATGAATGTCTACAGAGAAGACACAGAACTTTGATAAACTTACGAAGTTAGCCTATCAAAGTCACCTTCCTTCCAATGTCAGTAGGCCGGCAGCAGGTGACGCTGAGCCCTGGAACCAGAGCCCTGGTCCCAAATTCACCAGTGCACTTCAGGTTCTGTGGTCATTAGCAAATGCCTCCAGTAACATTTATATAGCACTGCCATGGATGTTCATCAGCGTTTTCTGGGTGCCGAGGGCTATGTCCAACAGCCCACATGGTCACCTCAACATGCGTGTGATAATTAGCTTACTTATGCATTGCTTCTTAGGGTTGTCCAAGTCTGAATGCAACCATGTATTTATAAGCACCGTGCATTTTAGTACCTGTCCTCTGAGATATTTCATTTTAATAACATTAAATGCCTGTTCATCCAAAAAAAAAAAAAAAAAAAAATTGGGGCTGGCACTGTGTCCAGCATGCATTTGTTCTCTGGCAAATTCTCCTACCCCTGGGGCTCCATCAGATGCCCTTGCTGTACGTTCTAATCTACGAAAGCAAGTTTCTTAAGGGCTGCCAACAGCTATGGGCAATGTTCTGTCAATATACTCCTAGTATGCGCCACAGATGTTTGCTGTGGCAAAGGAACTTGAAAGGTTCGGCCTCTGCTAGGAAACTCAGGTTTCTTGAGCAGCAAATAGGTAACATAATAATGAAACATGGGCACAAGCACAGCTGGAGTGTTTCATTCTATCTTATTGAAGGAGGAATGTTTTTTAAGAGCTGATATATGTGAAACACGATGCTGTCATTCCAGGAAGAATAAGCCAAGTCCTACAGTCCTATGGTCCAGAGAACCCTCCCATGACTTGGAGGCAAATTAAAAAGCGGCACCCAATAAGGCAAAACAGCCACCTGGAGCTGCTGCTAAATCAGTCAGATTCCCTCTGGAGACAAACAGCCCACCCACCGCCCCAGCCCAGAAGTCTTGGTGGCCGCAGGCAGCCTGTTCGCAGAACGCCAGCCCTGTGTCTGTCCCCTCCGAAAGCTGCTCATCAGCAGGGTGAATTAGCTCATATTGGTCTAATAAAAAAAGATTTACTTGGGACATTTTCCCCTGGGTCCTTCTCAAAGTCAGCCTTTGCTGAAAAGATTGAAATTCTTATTCTCCCATGTCTTTTTTTTTTCTTTTATCCTTACCCGAGGACCTTTTAACATTTTTTGTTCAGATAGAGTGGGAGTGGGAGAGAGGAAGAGAGACAAAAACATGGACGTGAAAGGGACACACCCAGAGGTTGCCACCCCCATGACCAGACATAAACTGCAACCGAGGTACATGGCCTTCGTGGGAACCGAACCCGGGTCTCTCTGGACCGCAGCCCGTCGCTCCGACCACTGAGCCAAACCGGCCAGGGTTCCTGTATGTCTTTAAATGGGGCTGTGAATTACCAGTCTCCTCCTGTGATGTGGGCAGAGAACACTCAGAATAGCAGAGCACTCAGGAGACTTGCTCACCCCTCTTTGTATACACGATGCCTTCTCATTTTTGCTCAGATCTTTTTTTCTATCACAGCCATGACAAAGCGATGACTCATGCTTAAATGCAGCCATCGTGTCATCTGCGATAGTCGATGTTAATACCTTGGTGACTTTGCAGTGCCATTCCTTTAAGAGGAAAAGGTTCCGGAGAGCAGGCTGCCGCCAACCTCAGGAACCACAAAGGGCAAAGTCCGCACAAGGCAGTGCTCATTGTGCAGGAAGGCCGCCTCGCCTCCTGCAGGCTGTTCCGATAAGCAGCTGTCAAGGGGAGGGGGAGGGGAGAAAAGAGGAAGGGGAGGGAGAGGGAGGCTGCTGTTATCAGCGCGGTTGGTCAGCCTTTAGCTGCTGCACACAGATGTCTTATCTCGAGTATGCTCCCGTCTTGCAAATTTAAAAATCTTCCTAAAAGGAGGAAAATAGGAGTAGGGCTCAAGTCCTGCCCTAACTCCTGGGCAGCGTCCCTTCCCCCACTTCCAGCTCCCTGGGAGCCTGTCATTCAGCCCAGACAGGAGACGGAACAGGTGCTATCCAGCTCCGTGCGTTTCAGCAATCATCGGCAAGCCTGCTGACCATCTCCTTCTCAGAGAGGACCCCCTACCCTCAATAAAGAGAATAAGTTTGTTTCAGTAAGTTTATTGTAAACTCAAAGCTGCAGCAGCATAATCCTTTAGAAAACGAAGCATCGCCGGGATCCGCTTTGAAACAGTAGTGCAGACTGTTAGGTCCATAAGAGCTCCAGTGACGGCGAGTCCGGGCCGCTTAGCCTCGCGTTTCCCGGGCTTCCAGCCCACAGCGCAGGCTGCTGAGTCACGCCGGCCTGGCCAGTCCGTCCTTCCCAGCACCCAGCCAATGTCCCGCCTCTGGCCTTCTTGGGCGAGCAGCCTCCCCACACTTGTAGAGTCCTGGGCTCGGGGCCAGCCTGCCCCTGCCCCTGCCCCCTCCTTAGAGGGGACCGTGCCTCCTTGCGGCTCTCCACGCGCCCCCGCTCGCCAGTCTCCACGCCGAACTCCGGCGCCCTCCGAGGGCGTGTCCACAGAGCCAGCCCCGCGCTAGGCGCCCCGGGGCGTCTCCACATCGATCAGACCAAGGACCCCAGCTGGGCTGTCACTCGGGGAGGGTGATACTGGGAACCCAGTCATTGACGCTGCGGCTCTCTTCGCAGAACAGGCTGAGCTTTTCCAAGGCGGGGTCCTTCCATGCATCCTCATTGGGGTTCTGCGGGAAGAGCGCAGAGTCAACCAGGTTGGCCACCTGGCGCCAACCCGGGGCTGGGGGCAGGGGAGCAAGGGGTGCACTCACCGAAATGAGGATGCAGTGAAGGTCTCCCGGGGTGCCCGCCTCGTCGCCGGCGCCCACGATGGCCGCCAGCCGCTGCACGTCGCCCACACGCACGATGTCGATATCGTTCTCGCAGCAGAACGCCTGGATCAGCGTGAAGTGGATCTGCAGCGCAATGTCGCCCTCGTCCTCCTCGTCGGCGGCCAGCACGCAGAAGGTGACGTTGTCGGGGTCCCTGCGCGGGCAAGGAGGGAGTGATGAGGTCAAGGCGACAAGCCCGAGTGCCGCTCGGGTCTCCCCGCCGCTGCCCGGTCTCCAGTCACCCCACGCGAGCCGCGTTTATACTCACACATTAAGGACTTTGGCGGACTCGTAGACGCCGGCGGTGAGGCAGCCCTGGCGCTGCGCAGACAGCAGGAGCTCTTGCAGCGCTTTCCCGGCGCCCTGCATCCTGCGAACGAGCGGGCACCGTGAGCGAGGGATGGCAGAACCCAGGCAGGTCCCCAACCGCGGAAACGAGGCCCCGGCGCCCCAGCCCAGAGACACACCTGAGAGGACTACCAACATACCCTCTGCCGGGCTCCCCAGCCAGCGGGCTCCCGCCCGGCTCCCCAGCCAACAGTCTCTCGCCCGACCAGCCGAGGTCACTGCCAGGCGACGCTCCCCGCGCACCCAGATGTCTGGTACCCGGCGCAGACCCACCTGGCTGTGCTTTCAGGGACCGTGTCCTGGCCGCGGATTTCTTCCAGAGTCATAGTGAGGTCGGCAAGCAGCTAGATATCCACGAGGAGCTGGCGGAGCGGACCCAGAGCACGGGGAAGGCTGCAGCACTCCCCGGTGCGCGCACAGCCAGCGAATTGGCCAGAGCGCTGCTGCGCGCACTTATATAGGCCGGACCGCAAGCACCGCCAGCTGGCGCGAAGCTGCGCGCCCATTGGCCGGAGCACGCTTTCTGATGCAAATGAGGCGGCGGCGGTGGCTCGTGCCAGAAGGCCACGTGGGGAGGGCTGCGGGGGATGACAATGCCTCAAATCTGCCGCTTTTGTCGGGGTGTTACTAGGCAGACTGTGAGCCTGCAGATTTCATCTCGCCCTTTTTTTTTTCCAAGTCCTTAAAAGGAAAAGTTATATTTTAAAACCCTGTTTGCGAATACGACTGTGCAATTTTTGAAATGCACTTTTGGAGAATCTAAAGGATTTAGTTTGCATTTATCTCTGTTGCCATCTTTCTATTTTTGTCTTTACTTTTAATTTGGAGTTTAGGAGAATGTTACTTTGAAAATAAACTTAAAAGTAAAAACGCGCAACCTTGGCTTTAAGCTTGCAAAGATCTGGGGGCAAGACCCTCCAGCTGACACTTAAGCTCCGTGCACGCCGGCGAGGCCTCAGTGCAGCTCAAAGTCGCGACGCTAAGGCGCTGGAAGGTCCTCGTCAAGCCCCTGGCGCCCTGGTGGAGTGCTGCGGGAAGCCGGGAGCCCGAGCAGATTGTGGCCGGCGCACGCGGCTCGTTTGCATTTCTATGGAAGGCGCACAATAATGGAGGTCTGGCGTGTGGTGTCTTGCAGGAGGGACAATTGAGGCTTTCTCTTCACAGCGACACTGTCCACCTGCCGTCGGGTGGGGTGGGCAGGGCGGCGCTGCGCGTGAAGGTCGCCGAGCTGCCTGGAGCGTGGGGGTCTGGTCCTCGTGCCGCTTCTGCGCCCTTGGGTGAGATCCTACTGTAGACGCCCCTCTGCCCCCCCCCCCCCCCCAGGCTCCTTTGCTAGTAATTCCGCCCCAGCCGGTCCTCGCAAGCTTGTGGAGCAGCCTCGGGAGTTGAAAAGAACACTAGGCTACTGCACCAGGTGCGCTTCGCCAGGACCCGGGTTCCAGTCCCCAGGAGCTTGGGAGAGGGGTTTTGGAATCCCTTTCCCGGAGCGCCATCTACAGGCCCTGGAAGATCCTCTTCACTTCCCTGTTTCCATTGGCCTCAGGTGTGTGTGTGTTGGGGGGGGGGGCGGAGAAGGGTTGAGGGATTGGCCTCTCGCCCTCCAGTCACCGGGTGACCCTGTCAGGGTCCGCTGAGCCCCGTCCAAACTACCCATCGATAGAAGTCAGGGTAAGGGCTGCAAAACCCACGGGGGAGGAGGTGGGGACGAAAAAGAGTCCATATTTGTATGCTCTTTAGATTTTTTACTTGTTTAAATATGCATGTGTTAAAAATCTGTTTCCCAGTAATAATTAGAATAAAACTGGAAGAGACCTTGAGAGAGTTTAAGAGACACTGCAGTGATGTGACCGTTCTTGGACCTCCAGCATTTCAGGCTGTTGGCTCACTTTTGGTGTCTGCAGCTCTCTGTGCTACACAGAAGCGCGCTGGGGTGCACTTCATCGACCACTGCTTTTCTAGCTAGCCCAGGCCTTGGAGACTGGGCAGGACGGTGGGCGGGCCGGGGCTTTCCTGGAAGCCCAGACAGACCTTTCGGCCGGAGAGAGAGATGAAAAATAACTCAGTGAGCTGGCGGCTGGCGCCCCCCGGTGGCTCACTGGCAGAGGATAGCGGCAAAATCAGGCCACCTCTCCCATTCCAAGTGGGTGTTCTGTTCACCTAACATTCCTGAAGCTCCATGTGTCTGTCATCCTCTCTGGAGCAAGGCAGCATCTTGCTGCGTTTATTTGCTATAGTTTCTTTTTTTCTTTTCTTCCTCCCTCCCTCCCTCCCTCCCTCCCTTACTTGGTGGTTGGTATATAAAATGATGGCTTGATTGGATCTGTTTAAGTAATTGAGACCTAGGTATTATTCTTTTTAAATGCATTTGTTCCAGATCCCCAGGAAATGCTGCAAATAAGACTTATTTGACATCTTAGCACCCCCCCCCCCATTTATAACATCAGAAATCGGCCTGCATTCCAGGCCTCAGCCCCCAGCAGGCCACTGGACAGACTGAGAGCGCCCCAAGGTCTGCATTTCCAGAAGCACTGAGCCAGACCCCGGAAGCAGCTGACGGACACCCCCCGGGGCTGTTCTACTCTGCTTACGTGTAAGGTATTCCATTGCAGGGAAACCACCTTTCTGACGTAGCATATGACTTCACGTGGGTTTACTAGGTCAGTCCAAATGGCCCCAGTGTCTTCCTCTCAATTAGGAAAGCAACATTTTCTCCGGAGGTCAGGCTGGCTCTTCAACCCCTCCCCAGCGATTTGGACAAACGCACAAGCTGCTGTGTCTGGGACTGGCCACTTGCCCCCGACGATGGGAGGGGAACGGAAGAGACTGCCCCACCCCAGTTACCTTCACCTGCCAGGAGACAGGAGACTGTGGACAAGGGTGAACAGCTCACTTGCTTGGCTGTGAGGCTGACGTTGTTGTCATTGACCTAGTTATCAATAACAGGAAAGGTCAAAGGGGGAGGATCGCCAATATAGACACGTCATTTGGACAGATTCGCCTGAAACTACAGCTTTACAGTCCCCGGGAACTGGTGAAAAGGAAGACAGATGCATGTCCAGCAGAGTTGGGGTGACATAGGGAACTTGCTGTCAGTCATACTTGGGGCAGAGATACTTGGACAGAGTGGACGTGGCCACTGCAAGGGCATGACATTTAGGATATTTAGTCCCTTATCCCTTGCACTCTCTGTTGTTGTTTTTTTGTTTGTTTGTTTGTTTTGGTTAATCCTTACCTGAGGACATTTTTCCATTGACTTTTTTAGATAGAGTGGAAGGGAGGAGGGAGAGAGAGAGAGAGAAACATTAGTGTGAGAGAGACACATCGATTGGTTGCCTCCTGCACAACCCTGATGGGGGCCAGGGATCAAACCTGCAACCCAGGTACATGCCCTCGACAGGGACTTGGACCTGAGTGAAACCCTTTGGTCCTTGAGCAGGTGCTTTAACTGCTGAGCCAAACCGGCCAGGGCAGGAATTCACTCTCGTGTGCTCTTGGGACTCTTAGCACTTGTGTGACTCTGGGTTGGTGGTGCCCTTCTGCATTGCCACACATGACCCCCAGCCGTGCGGACCCCACACACAGCGCACGAATGGACTGCAGCTGGCCTGATGCTGGACCGACCCCAACATGGAAGGAAACTCTGGACTCTGCTTCTAGCTCTATTGAATGGATGTAACTGCATGGAAATAAATTTTTCTACCACCTCGAATCCTCCCCTAGGGGATTCCAGAAATGCTTATTCCAGTGGTACCCCAAGTACCCCACTCCCAGTGGAAAGACTACTCAGCCTTTCCACTCATAATAATGCGACCATGCTCCCAAACAGCATTGCTGGAGCCCCTTGTCTAGGAGACTGTTGTTACCCCAAGCTCCCCATGAGTGCCCCTGAAACCTTCCCCTGAACCTTAGGAATGCAGTGATGGTGCCCTATTAAAGAGGCATCCTCAGAGAGGCCCCAGTTTTAAAGCCTTTGGAAATGTTCACAATGACACTGTTTTGGTCACACATTCTTGGAGATGCACTTTTTGGTGACTCTCACTGCCTGCTTGAAACAGTGGCCGAGAGTCTGTGGATGTTGGTGTGAAAAGGAACGGGCTTTAAGTGCGTAATCAACTGTATGAGACAGTCCCTGTTGTCATGACTCAGGTTATCGCTTTCAGAGGGTGCACGCAGCAGGTTCATTTCGGATACCCACAGCCTCGCCAGGGGCTGCAGGGCACAGGGGGGCTCAGAGCTCCATGTCATCTGCATGCCCTTGGACGATGGGGCGTCTCAGGAAGATTCCGCGTCCTCCCCACAGGCAGAAGCAGCTTTCACATGGAACCTGCATAGGTGCTTCTCTTGGCCAATGAGACTTGGCCAGCGGCCCGGGTCACCACTACCCCCACACAGCACAGTAACCATGGGCTGAAAGGGAGGCCTTGGCACCCCACTGGGCAGTGTTTCGCAGTTCACCGCAGTCCTCACGCGCCTTTTTGAGGACCCCTGTCGCTTCGTTCATTTACACAACCAACCTGCTCGTCCCCTGTGGACCTTTCTATTTGCAATGTTTGAAAAGAACTGAAGTTCAAAAAGCAAAGTGAAGGGCCATGTGCTCACAGGATGCACTCAAATAGGGCAAGCTTTGTGTGCGCCCCAGATTCAGAGGGCCGGTCCCGCTTCGGTGCGGGGTCAGGAGCATCGGGTCGGCCCTTTCTCAGCGGTTAGGGCATCGCTGTCCCCCCTCACCCCGCCCCTTTGCCAGCCCCTTCTCAGGCAGGACAGGCTTCCTTGGGTTTCAAAAAGAGTGTTTTTGTTTTTTTTCCAAAAATCTCATGGGTGGGGGGTGGACAGCAATGAATCAGTGACAATAGTACATTAACTCAAAAGAAACCAAATCTTTGTGCAAGATATACATTTTATACTTAGAACCCAGCAGCGCCAACTCATATGTGTCCCAAAGTTGAACAGACACAGTAAGGTGACCCACCCACCGCCACGCCCCCACTCTGTGAAAATGTCAGGTCTGCAGATGGAGAGGCTTTAGATGAGGCAGGAAACAGGAAGCTGAAAAGGGCAATCCCCACCTAGCAGAAGTCAGGCGTCCGTGGCCCGTCCCCGCACGGACAGGAACCATGGAAAGAGCAAATGGCTTAGCGTGTGACACGGCCCCATGAGCTCAGTGACATTCCCGAAATGGGGTGGGTACAAGTCATTCATGCACTTGGTCCTTTCTCTGCCATAGTGAGAACTGATTGTGACACATGTCATAGGCTGGAAACCCCTGAAAAGCCACAGATATGCTGATCTTCGAGGCTGGGTCACGTGCCTGTCTTCCGAGCCTCGGTTTCCCCCCTGTGAAATGAAGATTAGTCCTTTGCTCTTCATGAACCTCACAGGGAGTTTCTAAAGGTCACACTTGGTCACCATTGGGCCCACATTTGGGTT